GTGCATACCCGCTCCTAATTTAGTATGGGGTTCGCGGATGCCGTGCGCTGTTTGGCTCGGTGGATGTTGGCGGGTGTCGCTGTTGGTTTGATGCTCGGTCCAATGCCATCCATGAATTCATTTGTCCAATGTCCTCCAACAGGCGGGGCTCTTGCCTATTACACGACGTCGAAGCTCAAAGGCGAAGCGCTCGCTGGTGAACAAGGAACGGGACCGGGTCGGGTTGCCCAGAGAGTGGCCGTGCTTGAGTGTCGCGTCGCATTAGTCCGGGGGACGATGGAAGAAGAAGAAGAACACCAAGCCCCAGGATGGAGTCACAAAAAGAGGGAAGGGAAAAAAGGGTTGTGGGATAGTCTTTTCGAGTGTGAGCCTTGAGAGTTTTTTTATTAGGTCTCTTTTGTTTTCCCCTACCCTCGAGTCACCAAACCAAGGAAAGAGGAAAAAAGAAACAGACAATGAAGAACATTGATGGACGGGAAGGAAGAGGCGCGGGGGAGAAACCACCATTCACTGTCATCTCCAGGGCCCCAAAAATCTCCTGGCTGGCTGGCCATTTCTCGATGGGGGCAGGTAGGCGGGCTTTGATTGAACCCCCAAAAGCCGAAAAGCTGTCATCGTCTCCGCTGAAAATATCGGCGTTCAAGCTCCCCAAGTAAGTACCCTGCCAATCAATCAATGTTCCTTGGACGAAGGCAAGGGTAGGTCGGTTGGAGAAGAAGAGGGGGGACGAACGGTGACAGCGTGAATCGTTGACATGGTCCACAAGCGCCGCAGCCATTCTCGGCCCCCAAGACCGGGGTGGGGGAGGATAAGTTACAGGCCATGGTGCAAAGGTGAAATGAGACCCTCATTCCGTCGAGAAGAAGGATCCGTCCATGTTCAGCCTTGGGGAAGCGTGAGGCGTGAGGGTGAGATTAAGAAGAACCTCAAGCAGTATTATGCCTTGCTTCGTGAGAAAGGCCAAAATAGCAACGACGGAGAAAAAGAAGGCGCGAGGGATTGGCCCGAGGAAGGAAGCACCATGATGGCAACGTGAATCAACATTGAACCTAGTTAGCATCCCGATCGATCAAATGCCATTTCCTCTTTAGGGGTGTGACGGCGAGTGCAAATGTTTGTTTCCTTTGATTGTGCTCTCGATCCCCTCCGTATCCGGCAACGGGCCAGAGCCCCACATTTCCGGAGCTCAGCAGGGTCGTTCCCCCGATTTGTCCCCCTTCTACCCCCTTTGGCCGGGTCATGTCGATCGAGACAGGGCAGAGGGGAAAGAGGGACGGACCCACGCTAAGCCAATCCGAGTAATTGCTGTTGGCGCTACCCAACGTTAGCTCCAAAGGAAAGAGGGAAGGGGGCAACTTCTTTCCTTTTTTCTTTTTTGGCAAGGCGAGGAGGGAAAAAGGCGAGTATTATTACTTGTATTAATCTAGGATCCATTCAAAGCACTTCCGGAACCCTTGATCCTAGCCTCGGGCCTTTCTTTCCACAAGGCATCAGCGCGTCCGAATTGGACGGTTGACGGCCGGACATGCGTCACGTCACGTCACGACAGCTTGGCCAAGAAGCCAGTGAGGACTGTGGGGTGGGGGAGCAGCATATCGCCAGGCACACACGGCGACGGCCCAATTGCATTATTCACAACCCCACCAACTCGAACCCCCTTGTCTTGATCCTGTATTCCTTTTCTGTGTCCCTTGATTCTGCGGTCCTTGATTCTGCGACCCTCGATCCTTTTGGAGGCCGCTTCCTCGTTGACTGATGGCGCTTTTGGATCAGACGAAGGAACGACTGAACGCCAATCTTTCCCAAGCTTTGACGGAGCAAATGATCCGGCTGTAATTCTGCTAAGGCCCAAGGCAAGAACCGTGGTGACAAGGGGAAGAAAAAGGAGAAAGAAAAAAAAAAAAAAAAAGGTAATTCAGTTGGTAGGCGACGGCCCGAGAGAGGTGTCGAGAAACAACGGGAGTGACTGTGTATCTGACGGAAGAAAGATCGGGACACCAGACATGGGATAGATGAGGATTGTGTTGCAGGAGGTTCTCTGCCTGGTGCAGCCGTCGGGATTCCTGCGACACCTAGATGTAGGTGATGGAGCACGGCTTTCGCTTCAGCGTGCATGCGTGCATCCATCAAATGGATCCAATTGATGGACATGTACATCTATCCACCCATCTCAGGGCACTAGTTGGGGAATCGATCAGTTTGACGTATCAATTGATCCATCCGCATGGGTATGTGCGTGCGTCTGTTGTGTTGGGTAGATGCCATGTTCACATCGATCAAATCCTTTCGAGCTTTAGCGACCTTGCGTGCCTTCCCGCTGGCGAGCCACCTGGGCTCTCCGCAGATCAGAGTTATCCATGTGACCTTCCTTCATCCATCCACGACTAGGAAAGAGAAACCCCATCCTTTCCCCTTGTGTCCCAATAAGGACATGAAATTAACCCAGATCAAGTGGGATGATGGATGGATTGATTGATATCCCGTTCTCCACCTTCTTGCCAAATTTTAACTTTTGATGCATCGTCGTCGTTGAATGTAAAGCATATCCAGCTAACATCAACTTCAACTTGACGCCCTCGTTAATATCCTCGCCGTATCATGTGGCTCGACTATACTTTCTCTTTCTCTGCCGCCTCTTTTACTATCTCTTTGCAAGAAGAGAAGGGGCTCTTTTCAAATGAATATCTACACTTTAAATTTGATATCACACCCCCCTTCCCCCGTCCCAACTTCACCATCCCATCCACCGAGTGCATCGCCACACTCACGTTTCGTTTCGTTTCGCTCTTCACCTCTCGTGTCCCTTCCCATACACATGTATCCGCAAATCACGTTGCATCGGCCAACGCCTGAGGAGGCTTTGTACGCTTGTTCGGCTCCGCGGGGCACCATGGCGAGGTCTTGGCTTCTTTGCGCAGCCGACAATTCTCCCTCATTTTTGGGGGTTCTAATACTCTTTTGGTGTTTCCGTGCCCGAATCGTGGGTGAAACGGGACCGAACCGGGTGTGGTCATGGTCACAGGCATGGGGCCGCGGAGAGTGTTGCCCGTCGTTGGGGCACCACCCCTGGAGGTGCAGGATTGTGGCGTTTCCCAGCGAACATTGAAAGGTCGTGCTGCACGGCGCCTCTACCTGCACCTCCATTCTATCCCCCTCCAGCGCACTGCAACCCTGGCAATGTTCAAATGTTCGTTTCTCGACACAAGAAATATTAGACTTTGTATTACGGTACTTTGTGCTTTTCCCTTTTGACCCTCGGAGCGGCTCCGCGTGCAATGTCTTGCCGCGCTGGCCGGTCACGATCTCCTTGGCGGTCCCAGAAACAGACACTCCATGACAAGATGTGTGTGCCTGACGACTGACCCCCAGGCAGCCAGCCCCCCCAATCCGGTCCACGTCTCGTCAGATCATAGCCTCGCCAGGGTTACTTTTGCAAAGGTTAAACCGCTTCGCTGCACCTCAGTTGAGAGCACTAGCTCAATGTTCCGCACGAGGGACGAGATGAAAATAGAAAATGGACCTAAAGAGAGAGAGATAAAAATCGACTACCATATTCGTCAGTTCTTGCGACCCTCAATCAGGTCTTGGTAAACAAGATCAAAATCGGATTCTTAAAACCCTTGTCAAAAAGGTGAGAATTCAGGAATGAGGGGGCCAAAGGAGGAAGAAGGCTGTCTTGCCCTTTCTTTCTTTTTTTTTCTTCTTTTTTGGCCTCCTCCTTTTGTAGCTTTGCTTTTCTTCCTTTTACCATGTCGCAAAGAATTTCTTGTTATGCCTTGCCGCAAGACATGTTTGCACGAAATTAAGTGAGACGATGTCCTCCGTCCTCCTTCCGCGGCGTAAACGAATGCGAGGTCCTTTCTTCTCGAGCAAGGGAGAGGCCGCACTCGTTCTTTCTTCTCTCGCCAAAGAAAGCAATGCAACTTTTTCCGGAAAGAGACGAGGGTCCTTTCGACGGGGACGGGGATGCCCCTCGTTTGCCAAGGGGACATGTTGTATTGTACGAGTGCCGACTAACTTTCCAATGCAAGCTCAAAAGCTTGGGACGTGAACGGACGGACAGCGCCAGGGGCCAGAAACCCTTGAGGGGGACAGGGGACGCACGCACCTTCCCTGCCTGGCCTACTTGCTCAGTCTGAAGCTGATGCTCGACGTCAAATCGACCTTCAGTTCAGCAGCATCAGCCAAAATATCTTTCCTTTTTTCCCTTTTCTTTCCTTTTTCTTAGCTGACACTTCGCTTGGTCAAAACCTCATGTGACCAAGGAACAATATATGCGGTCGATTACGCATCTCCAAAGGCAAGGGGCATGACGCAAAACTGATAAGAGGCAGGCTGGAAGGAAAAAGAAAGAAAGAAAAAAGGAACAAAAAGAGGTCGTGCGATTGCGCTTCTTGCTTTACTATCTGGGTATCTACATATTACACACGGAAGCTTGAGGGAGTTTCCTTGTCTTTTTTTTTTTTTTTTTTTCATTTCATTTCTCGAAATCCTTTCCATATCGTCTCCGTGTGTCACTGATCCTCCTCAGGTCAGATGAGCTCTTCGCTACCGTCCTGTTCCGGTTCTGCATGACCTTTTGTAACCATTTTCCTTTTCCTTTCCCTATTTCCCTTCCATTGCCTGGCGTCACTGCCATATTACAAACGCAAGTAGCAAGTAGCAAGAAAGGAAAAAAAAATTAAAGAACAATAAAAAAGACAACGATGGCGGATAAGCTCCATTACAACGCAATCTCGCAGCACATCAGCACGATGGCTGTCCCACATGATATCACAAACCCTCCCCGCCAAGTGCCCTTGCCGTGTCAAAGAGATGAAACCGCGTAAAAACAAGGGCGCGCTCGGGTGATTTTCACTCATCGAAATGCCCTCCTGCCGTGACCGTGACCCCTACTGGGTGAACGGGACCGGCTGGGCTGCCTATGGCTACCGTGGCTGCTGCGACTAAAGCTCCTATGCTGGTCGTCGCCGTTATTGGGACGGCGGCCGCGATCACGCTCACGGCGCGGGGGTGGGGATCTGGACCTGGAAGGAGACCTCGCGTACGAGTTGGATCGCTCGCGGTATCGACCACTTCCGCCGCCAAACCCACCTCTACCACCACCACCTCCTCCTCCTCCCACTCCTCCTCCACCTCCACCTCCACCTCCCCGAGCTCCAGGGCCCGAGGGGGTGACCTCGACCTGGAGGGCGAACGAGACATGGAGCGGGGCCTCCACGTGTCCGAACGCGGGCCGTAGCGCCCAGCAGGGGAGTGGCGTCGGCCACGGGTAGGAGGCCCCCTTTGCCTCTGGTATTCTGAGGTCCGTTGTCGCCATTGGCAGAAGGACGACGCCCGGGAGGGGGTAGGAGGGGTTGATGTTGGCACCACGGCGGGCCGTCGGGGTGCGGGGAGATCTTGCGGCGCGGGAGTACAATGGAAACGTTGATGATGGCGCCGTCAATTTGGCCTTCGTGCATGTTGGCCACGGCCGTCTCGGCGTCCAACTCGTCGACGTATAGGATATAGGCGGTCCCGCGATTGGAGTTGACTATGGGAGTCCCAACAAGGAAAATATTAGCGCCTAGAGCTATAGAAAAAAGTATCGGCAGAGGGAATGGTATGGTGGGAAGCTAGGGAAGGCGGAATGAGGACGTACATTGCCTGTTCATTGGCAGGTCCAGGTCATCGATGGGCCCGAATTGGCCAAAGATCTCACGTAGATGGTCCTCCGTTACGTTCTTGGTTAATCTCTCCACGACAATCTGCACAAAGGGTGTTGAGGTCAGTAATCGATACCTCGCCCCCAACTACACAAGCCTGCAACTTTGTGAAATATTGGGCCAGCTTTTCGGCCCCCGCCCGCCCGCCCTCCTTGCTAAGCCCAAACAAGAGGTGGGAGGGGAAGAGGGACGGGAAAAGAAAAGAATAAGCAAGGGAAGCCAAAACTCACCTTTGTACTCTTGATGCCATCACCCCTATCCCGACTCCTGCTACGGCTGCGACTCCAGCTCTGATCGCGGCTGTAGGACCGGCTTCGGCTACGATAGCGTCCGTTGCGCCGCGGGCTCGGGGAACGCGAGTAGGATCGGGAACGTGTGCGTGAGCGAGAGCGCGATCGAGAGTCCTGGCGGCGGCGAGGACTCGGGGAGCGGGAGTCCCTGGACATGGGGGTCCGGCTGCCCCTGCGGCCGCGCGACCGCGTTCCGGATTCGGACACCATTGCTGGGGCGGCGGAGCTGTTGGGAGCGGTGCAGGATGTTTGATTCGAAGCAAGAAATCGAGCGATCGTTTTGATGGAAATAAAAATCGAGTGACGAATGAGGAGGGGAGGGTGGGAGCCGAGGGGCTGTGATGAAATGGAGGCTCAGGTGGAAAACTGGAGGTTTTTTGGTTGGTCGATGGTCCTGATGCAGAGCGTGGGTCTGTGACGCGGGTCAAGCTTTGGTTGGAATCACGGATGTTGGTTGCAGTCGTGGTGGGCGCAAAGGTGGCGCGCATGGGAATTCGCAGAAGCTCACGCCTCTAAACTTTTGGCAGTTGCCGAGCTGGCGCCTGGATTTGTCACGTGATAGCGTGCTGGTGGAAGCGGGGCCTTATCGGTCCCAGCTTCCTTTTCGTGTGCCCGGTCGGGTCCGGATGAGCATTCACGGGAACCAGCGCCGTTTGCACGCTGTCCTTCCTGTACTTGCGTGTGCAAACAGAGCTGGTTTCTCTAGGATATGTGGAAATGTTGCGTCGCATGTCACGCCCTCACGATGCGTCTTGCAGACTTGGGGACGTCCTGGATCCGTCCCCATCAATTTCAAGGATCGTACACCAAACTGACCATTCGTTGGATTCGAGGGAGCCGCCATCAATTGGCAGTTCCAACAGGCCACTGACCTCAATAGGCACTTTGAATTCACCCGGTAAAAGAAAAAGAAAAAAAAAAAAAAAGAAAAAAAAAAAAAAAGAAGGAACAGATCGTGCCTTCCTGAGCTGAGTCCAGAGACTGGCGACGGAGGAATAGCTGACACATCCATCCGTCAATTCCCTTGGCCCCTCTCGTCGTCATGTCATGGCTGTTTTTGGGGTCGTTGAGTGAGCCTATCCTTTTGGCTGTCACGACAATACCACAATACCATCCCGTCGCTTCATTGAACGTTGTCTCTGGAGGCTGTGACGTGGGGCCGGCAGCTCTTGCTCATCCCCCGAACCGATTTTTCCCTCTCTTCTCCCGGGCTCAGCTGAGCCACCCCCACTATCCAATCCCCCCTCCCCCATCCTCCCTCCATTCCGCCCTCATCCCCATGCAGCGAGGGCTCATGCTGTCGTTAGCGCAACCATCCGCGCAGGTCCTGTTTTAGCACCAACGCGAGGTTACTTTGCATCCAGTAGTTTCAAATATGAGCCAAGTTTGGGCGACGCTCCTGCGCTGCGGCGTTGGGTTGGGCGGGGGCCAGAGTGAGTTCCCCAGGAGCCAGGAGCCGGGATATGCAGGCCAGGCCGGGTTGGCAGATGCACGGCCGATCAATTTTCAATAAGAGCGGCGATTGGGAACACTCGACCACTTGGCCACAGCCCGTGGATGCCTTGGAGAAGCTCTGTACGCCTGGCGCCTGGCCGAGAGGCCCCAAAGTATGAGCCCGAAAAAGAAGAAGGAAAATTTACTCGGCGATACCGGGCACGTAGCACTCACTGCGGAAGACGATGGCTTAATTTCCGCAGTCAATAGTCTCCGCAGCTATATGATTGTGGTGGTTCTTCTTCTTCTCAAGCTCTGACTCAAGCTCCACGCGGCCCTAAGCTTATTTCACAGCATTGAATTCCTTATGGGAGGCAAGCCACAAGGCATTCTACCTCGTCGTTGAAGTCAGAGAGGAGCGCGACGACGTAGGCGTAGGGGCTCTCTCGAACCGTGTGTGAGCAATTGATCCATTGCTTGCGCCACCCCTGAAGACAACCTCTAGTCTGATGGAACAGCCATCTCACCAACATACGACCTACGGTGAGCATCAAGATATTTTAAGCCTCACCGAAAAAGAAGAGAAATAAAAAAGCCTTGACAGGTGTAAATATGTAAATATAGCCAAAGGAATCAGGGCGGGCGTGGTTAATGTCGGGATAACTCAAGCCACGTATGAAGGTGATCTGGCCGTGCTGTGCGTGTCAGTCTGAAGCTGAGGACAGCTCGCAGGCAGGATCAATTAATTGAGAAAGAGGACCCGGTTGGCAAACGGGGACTCTTTGATTCTCCTCACGTATCCTGCCGAGAAAAATCTCGGGCCGTGACGGGATCGTTGGCTGCTGAAGAGGCGCGCAAGCAAGTGTACGGCGCAGTTGGAGGGTGGCCTGACATTGTCTAGCCCGACATGGAGGGGTCTCGAGGCAGCCATCAATAGAATGGATGGATATACTCGAGGTAAAAAACTATATGGGTATGGGGAGAGAGAAGAGAAGGGGGGAACCCGTGAGACGGTGGCTCTCGTGCGTTGTCTAGGAGAGAAAACGCATTCGTACGTCCATTGAATGGATGCTCTCGATATCATCTCAAACTAGGTCCGAGTTCCGCGGAGATCTCGAACACACGCGCTGTGCTGAGCTCCGCGGAATTGTCCAAAATCATCCTGCAACCTTATCACCATATCTCTTCTACAATCTCCATCATATCAGCGAACACTCTTATCTCTTGCCCGACTCTTTCTCTCACTCTCTCGTTGTCTTGTAATCGATGATTCCATCTCGACGAAAACGCTCCGACAAAAGCGAGAGCACCAGGCGAGAAAGAGCTCGAGATCAGTCCTTCGAAGGATCCATCTATCGTCCGATAGAAGGATCTATCGTCTCCGACCCGGCTCCGACCAGTCCTCACAATGGCAGCCAGTATTCAACCCACCAAAGCGCGGGGCAAAAATGTGTTCGAGGCGATTAGCATTTCCCCACCGCTGATTGGTGCGATAAGCCCAAAGTGAGCGAAAATGGGAGAAGAAAAAAATTGGATCGAGAATGACATCAAGTACGCTAACGATTGCGAGCGCGGGGCAGAAACGCGGGTGGGATGCGAAAGGAGGAGGGGAACAAAGAAGAAGAAAGAAAAAAACTTGCGCTTCCGTCCATTTGGCTTGTCCATTGAGGTTTTGATTTTGTAATCGGAGGGGTGCGTTGCATTGCCGGTTAATACTCTTTGTTACCTATCTAGTCAAGCTGTTCCCGGTTCTTGATTAATATTCACTTCTTGTTCGTGGACCGTGGACCCTGAATGTTGCACGACGCATTAGCCCAAGCAGCAGCGCCATTGATTCCGCGCGATTAAAAAAAAAGAGACTAATAAATCAGGTCCAGGTTTTGCGCTTTTATCAGGAACTGAAGAGTCACACACACACAGCAGTGGCATAACGGTCACTTCTACCCTTTTTCTTTTTCTTTTTCTTTTCTCTTTGTTCTCCCCTTTGCTCCAACATCCCCCTCCTCCTTCTTTGGCCGCCAACTTCCAACACACCCTTTCCCTCTCCTGGCCCGCCCATCGCCAAAAACCATGGCCGAACCCGTGGTCGTCCAGCTCCTCGCCGGCCTCAACTGCACGTCGGCCACCCACCTCATCGTCGGCTCCAACCCCTCGCCGGTGCCCGCTGCGCCCAGTCCCTCAGCGCCGGCGCGCACCCCATCGTCGTCGCCCCGGCGTCCGCTGACGTCCACTACGGCCTGCAGAAGCACATCGATGCCGGCACCGTCAAGTGGCTTCAGCGCGATTTCAAGACGACGACCTCTTTTCCTTGGGCCGTGAAGAGGTCGGCCGCGTGGTGGATGCCGTCTTCGTCACCGTCGGCCCGCGCAATCCACTGAGTACGTTTCTTTGTTCTTCCTTTTTCTTGAATCTCCGCCCCCGTTTACTGGGTTTCCTTTTCGAATATTCTGGCCCCTTGAAAAAGAAGCCCGAGAAAAAGCAATCTGTCTGCCTTACAACCGCTAACATCTAACCATTCCCTTCCTCCCAGGCTCCCACATCTCCGCCCTTTGCAAACGCAACCGCATCCCCATCAACGTCGTCGACGCCCCCACCTCTGCACCTTCTCCCTCCTCTCCACCCACGTCGACGGCCCCCTACAAATCGGTGTCACCACCAACGGCCGCGGCTGCAAGCTCGCCTCCCGCATCCGCCGCGAAGTCGCTGCCGCCCTACCCCGCGACCTCGGCGCCGCCTGCACCCGCCTCGGCGACCTCCGCCGCCGCATCCACGCCGAAGACAAGCTGTCCGGCCCCGCCACCACCCCCGCCGCCCACGCCACCCACACCGAGGAAGAAGGGCTCGACGACTCCCTCGACCAGTCCGCCACCTTCAACAAACTCGTCACCGACGCCGACCTCGACGCCGCCCGCACCCGCAGGATCCGCTGGCTCTCCCAGGTCTGCGAATACTGGCCCCTCAAGAAACTCGCCGCCATCACCGACGCCGACGTCGACGCCGTCCTCGCCTCCTATCACCCTTCTTCTTCCGTCCCACCTTCCGCAGCCGGCTCCCCCTCCGCCGAACCCTCTTCCTTCCTCAGCTCGCAGACCCACGCCACTACCGGCAACCAACCCCGCAGCACCACACCATCCCCCGCCCCCAACGCGGCGGCACCCTCATCCTCGCCGGCAGCGGCCCCGGCCACCCCGACCTCCTCACCCGCGCCACCCACAAGGCCATCCAAGCCGCCCACCTCATCCTCGCCGACAAGCTCGTGCCCTCCCCGTGCTCGACCTCATCCCCGCCGTACCCCCGTCCACATCGCCCGCAAGTTCCCCGGCAACGCCGACCACGCCCAGCAGGAACTCCTCGACATGGCCCTCGCCGGCGTCCGCGACGGCAAGACCGTCCTCCGCCTCAAGCAGGGCGACCCGTTCATCTACGGCCGCGGCGGCGAGGAGGTCGACTTCTTCAACCGCCAGGGGCTCGCCGATAGGGTCCACGTCCTGCCCGGCATCACCAGCGCCCTCAGCGCCCCGCTGTTCGCCGGCATCCCCGCCACCCAGCGCGACGTCTCCGACCAGGTCCTCATCTGCACCGGCACGGGAAGAAGGGTAAAGCCCCCACCCCGCCCGAGTACGTGCCCACCCGCACCGTCGTCTTCCTCATGGCTCTCCACCGCATCTCTGGCCTCGTGCAGGAACTTACCACCCACGCCCCCGAAACCGAGGCGGCTGCCGCTGCCGCTGCCGAGGGTGTCGATGGCAGCCCCGCCAAGCTTTCGGGTCGTGCCTTGTGGCCGCGCGACACGCCCTGCGCCGTCATCGAGAGGGCTAGCTGCGCCGACCAGCGCATCATCCGCACCACCCTCGGCTTCGTCGCCCAGGCTATTGAGGAGGAGGAGCAGACCCCGGGTCTTCTCGTCGTCGGCAAGGCGTGCGAGGCGCTGTTCACGTTGGAGAAGGGCAGGTGTTGGGTCACGCAAGAAGGATTCAAGGGCTTAGATCTGGATGACTTGATTTCTCTCTAAGTTGATTGTTGGAAACCTGAAAACCTCTGCACACACAAAACACAGGGATATATACATATATAGAATCTAGACGCATGCATCGGATGGATAGCTCGGCGTAATCACCCCCTCCTTTGTTTCCTTTTTCGGTTTATATCAAAGGCTTGGAATCATTAATAAAAAAGAAAATCATTTCCCAGTTTACGCCGTTTCCTCGGCCACCGGCGCCTCTTCAAACAGAACAAGAACAGTGCCCGCTTTGCAGATATCCTAAAGTGAAAAAAAAAAAAAAATGTTAGGCACGTCTGTGAAAACCAACAGGCAAGAAAAGGGAGGAAAAGGGAGAGTACGTACACCTTCCTTATGCGCCAGCTTCTTGATTACGCCATCCTGTGGTGACCGGATCACCGTCTCCATCTTCATCGACTCGATGCTGTACAAGTCGTTAGCAAAGAACTCACGAGCTTAACGAGGGCCAAAAAAAAGAAAACGGTCGGGAAAAGAAAAGCTTACACAACAAGGGGCGTCCCCTTCTTCACCTCCTGCCCAACCTCGACCTCATTCTTCAAAATCTTGCAGGGCATCGGCGCAACCACCGACGCAGCCGACTCCTTGGTACCGAGCGCCTTTTCCAGCCACGTCGCCGGCAGGAGCTGCATCTCCGACTTGGTGCCGTGCTGGAACACGGCGAGGCGCGTCCGCATCGGGCTCGCGGCGTCCCGGCTCACGACCACGGTTGACTCGACCCTCTGGTTGGGGAAAAACGTGGTGAGGCGGCTCTTGCTCGGCGCAGCGGCGGCGTCGCACACCACGTTGTCGTAGCGCGCGGGCTCGGTCTGGCCGTCGTCGCGGAGGACCTCGACGTTGTACAGCCGGTTCCCGACGCGCGAGACAGACACGCGGACAATTTCTTCCTTTTGGTCCTCGTTGCTAGTGATGAGCTTGAACGCCAGCTGCCTCTGGCTCGTGGGCGGGGCGGCCTCGAAACCGAGGACCTGGCCGTGGGGGCCCTCGTCCGCAAAGGAGGACGTCAGGGTGGCGAGCGCGGCCTGGATAAACACCTCGTCGGGGTACTTTGTGGGCTTGAACAAGCTCTCCCTCCACTTGTCGATGAAGCCCGTCTCGACGTCGCCCTGGATAAAGGCCTCCTCGCGGCACAGGCGCTTCAAAAACTCAATGTTGGTGCTCAGCCCCACGACTTCGTAGTCCCGCAGCGCCACCTCCATCTTGCGGATCGCCGTCTCCCTGTCCTTGCCCCGCACGATGAGCTTGGCAATCATGCCGTCGTAGGCCTCGGACACGGTGTCGCCCTCGACGAAGCCGGCATCGATGCGAATGTCCTCGCTCGTCGCGGGCGTCGAGAGGTGGATCAGCTTGCCCGAGTCGGGCATGAAGCCCTTGTCCGGGTTCTCGGCGTAGATCCTCGCCTCGATGGCGGCGCCGTGCTCCTTGATGCGCTCCACGATCTCGTCCTGCGTCAGCGGCAGCTTCTCGCCCGCCGCCACGCGAAACTGCCACTCGACCAGGTCGGTGCCCGTGACCATTTCGCTGACGGGGTGCTCGACCTGCAGGCGGGTGTTCATCTCCATAAAGTAGAACTCGCCCGTGTCCTTGTCGAGGATGAACTCGACGGTGCCGGCGCCCACGTATCCCACCGCCGACGCCGCCAACCTCGCCTTATCCCAGAGGTCGAGCCTGGTGACGTCGTCCAGGTCGGGCGCGGGCGACTCTTCCAGAACCTTTGGTGTCTCCTCTGCACACTACAGTCGCGCTCTCCCAGGGCCACACAGTTCCCCAGCTTATCGGCAAACACCTGCACCTCGACGTGCCTAGGCCGGACAATGTACTTTTCCACAAGCATGACCTCGCCACCCTCTCCAAAGGACGCCCTAGCCTCGGCCCTAGCGCTCTGCAACTGCCTAGGAAACTCCTCCTCCGTCATGACGATCCTCATGCCCTTGCCCCCGCCACCCTTGACGCTCTTGAGCAGAACAGGAAACCTGACATCCCTCGCGTGCGCGAGTAGCTCCGCCTCGCCCTGCTGCGAGCCGTGATAGCCCGGCACGCACGGCACGCCCGCCGCCGTCATAATCTCCTTGCTGCGCGCCTTGTCGCCCATATCCGCCATGGCCTTGGCCGGCGGGCCCACGAACACGATGCCCTCCCGCTCGCACTTTTCGGCAAAGGCCGAATTCTCCGACAGGAAACCGTAGCCCGGGTGCAGGGCCTGGATGCCGTGCTTCTTGGCCAGCGATATTATGCGGTCGCCGTCGAGGTAGCCCGCCGCGGCGCCGAGGAGAGCGCGTGCGGCGAGCACGCGGCATGCTGGGAGGAGGCGTCCGGGTCGGTGTAGAGGGTCGTGGTGCGGATGCCGAGGCGCCGCGCCGTGCTGTGGATCCGGAGGGCGATTTCGCCGCGGTTGGCGATGAGGAGGGAGGTGATGGGTGTCACGGTGGCCGAGGGCGAGTCTGCCGAGGTAGAGCTGGTGGCAGCTGCGGTGGATAGTAGCCGCCGCCGTATTGGGTGGAAGGGTAGCTGGGTCCTCGCAATTGACCTCATTGCGACGGGAGGTGAATAGACGTGGGGAAATGGCCGTAGAATGCAAAGACTGGAAAAAGACAACCTGAAGACTGCTTCCTGTTCAATTACAACAAGAATCAATCTCTTTATTCAAACTTCAATTGCTCAATTGGCAGGAGTAATTGAAAGGAAAAAAGGGGAAAGGAGCAAAAAAGGGCCAAAGCCGAGAAGAAAGCGTCTGGTCTTATTAGTGCGGAGATCTACAGACCTTGGAGGTGGTAGGCCGGGGAAGCTCCAAAGCCGAGAGCCTAGGTCACGATGGCTCGGGTGGCTGCCAAAACAAAGACCGACAATATCCGCCGACCTGGGGCTTTTGCTGGTTCAAACGCCGTTGGTCCTCCTGGGACCTAACCAGCCACATGCTCAACCCCCGAGCTACGTCACACTGTCCAGCTGGACTACCCCTCCTTAGTCATCGCCTCTCCCCCACAACCGGCCCACCCGTACCCCCTCTCCCCCGAAGCTGCGCTGCTCCATAGAGACAAGCAAAGGGAAGGGTCTCTCCAGAATCGCGGGGCGAGTTCCTGACATCCGGGAAAACTTCTTGGGGTCATACGACGAGAGTCTCCACCATACTTTCTTAACCCTCACTTTGAAAGACAAGAATAACTCCCTAAAAACACCTTTTCCGGGAGCCCTTCATCTTTACATCTTCCACCCGTTGTCTTTTTCACAAGCAAGGAATCCAATTCTCAACCATAGAGTGGGGAGGGAAAAGCCCGACCAACGCAGTGATGGAGCAGCAGATCCCATTGAGCCACGAGGCTTCCGCCGGCGACACCAACAAGCAGACCACCACTACCCTTCCCCATGAAGTCGTCCAGTGTCTCGAGAATGCGCGGTTTGTGAGGTCTCTCCCATCTTGTTGTTTTCTTCCGATAACTCTCTCTCTCTCTATCCTTTTCCCTTTTTCGCACCATTCACACCCGGGCCATATCCAAAACTGCTTGCTAACGTAGCGGAACATCGCCGGCCGGGACGCGATAGCTTCACCTCGCGACATGTCTCGACAACGTCCCCCACGTCTCCCTCATGAATTACACCTACCTCGCCGAATCTCCCTTCTCCACCTCGCCCATAATCATCATGACCACCAACCCAGCCTCCAAGAAGATTAACAATCTCGTCGCGAACCCCAACGTCTCCCTCTTGGTCCACGACTGTGAGTTGTACCTTTTTTCTCCCTTTACTCTCTCCAAGCCAATATCCTTGCGCCAAAACACCAATCAATCGCAAAAATCACCACTAACCATACCAACAAACAGGGGTCTCCCACCGCCCTCCCACCGGCCGCCGCCTCTCCAACGGCTCCCCCAACCCCCACATCCTCCCTCGCCTCCCTCCTGCTCAACCTCAACTCCTCCGCCATGTCCTCCATCTCCGCCACCATCAACGGCTCCGCCCGCCTCGCCGAACGCGCCTCCGAAGAGGAGCGCTTCTACCGCGAGCAGCACCTCGAGAACAATACCTTTGACGGCGGGGATCCCTTCGCCGCCTCCTCCGAGCCCGCCGTACCCGCGCCGTCCGCCGTGCAGGGAGACGTGAGGGTCGTCGTGGTAGATATCAAGGACGTCAGGATTAGCGATTGGAAGGGCGGAGTGAGAGACTGGGTACTTGTCAAGGAGGAGCCGCTCGTGAACGGTGAAAGATAGGAGCCGATCAACTGTTGAGCAGATGTAGCGCCCTCCAATCCGCCCAGGGTCGGAGAATATGATATTCCGCCTCAGGATCAAGTCGGGGTAATAAATCGTCAGAGAACGGGAAGGGGCATCGGTGGGCCTCCTCGTAACTCGGCATCAATCGTACTAGATTTTGTTCCATCTCATCTCCCTACAGTTCTGTATACTCGCTACGTTTCGATGTGCTCAAGTTTCCTAGGAAGCAAACATTCTCAGAATTCCTTTTTGTCTATTCTTTCTGCCGTGTTGAGCATTCTATGGTTCCCTTCCTGCCCGAAAAAAACGTTACAGATACAACGACCTTAACTCCGTGGACCCAATGCTTTAAATACCCATTCTATGCAAAACCCCTCGAGGACGCCTAACCGTGGACTCAAACGATGATGGAGTGCCAGCAAGCAGAATTGATGCAAAAATAAATGAAACAAAAGAAAAAGTAAAGGTAGACAAAAAAGAATAGGCCGGGATGGACCCAAAGCATACGCATTAAGAGGATGCGAAGAGAAAGACTGGTCTCACGGACGGTGGCGTTTAACCCTTGGCTGCCCACTCCACGACCTCAAGGGCGCACATGACCAAGACCATAGTCGAAGGCAAAATCCTATGATTGGGCATTAGTACGTGTTACCAAAACTAGTAAGAAGGAATTGAAACAAAACACAAGAAAAGGGTCGGGTAAAACAAGCACTTACCAGATGACATAGCTCTGGAACAAAATCTTGGCCATTACACCCTCATACACCCCGTTGAGTTGACAGATTTGAGCCAGCTGCAAAGCACTAGGCGCACCGGTGAGGAGGAAGCAGACAATGACAAAAATAGGGTCGTCGAGAATGCTGACGGGGACGAATTTGGCAAACAGGGCCAATATCGGCGCCATGATGAGGGTCGGAAGCAACATGCGGCTGATGAGGGAAGCGATGAGAAGCTTGGTGCCAATCTTTTCCTCTTCGGGATCGTTCGCCCCATGTTCCTGCGTGTTCCTGGCCAGGTTGGCACCCAAAACGACTAGAATGAGCGGGACGGCGACGCTGCCGCTCGACGAAACCGCTCTCGTGACGCTGTTGTATACGAACGAGTCCTCCTCGAAGAACAGGTCCTGTAGCTGAGGGACGGATGCGACAATGATGGCAATCAACATGGCCCAGAGCGGGGGTTCATAAAGGTCTGCAAAAATCCGTAGACTCTAGCAGTCCAAGATCCCAATGTCGCGAGAACGAGTTGAACTGGCCGAGGAAGATGATGGTAGACCCGGGTAGCACCCTCGCGCGCAGACTTTTGGCGGAAGCCGCATTCTTTCGGAGTCTCGACTTGAATGTGTCCACTAAGCTCTCCTCGCTGCTCGACTGAGAGCTGGCGATTTGAGGAATGAGATGATGTCCAGGCTAGGGTTGCTATGACCATTGATGAGCAGAAGCGGCCGATGAGAGTTCTTGGGGTGGCTGTTGGCGCCATCCTCGTCATCCGAATCGGCAGGCGAAGCATGCGATCCACCTGCGACGGGAGTTCTGCCAGCGGGCCAAAAATGATCCTGATCGAAATCATCAGTGCTCTGGTTACGCTCGAGCGGCTCGCCCACATCACTATCACTGTCATCGCTCGCCGTGCTATGTGCGAGCGTTGGCGGTTGGGACAAGTCACGGTGGTGGTTGAACCCGCGCTCAAGATCGTCGTTTTCTACGTCATCGTCGTCATCGCGGTAACGGGGCCCGTCGCCCTCTTCGTCGTGCTTAGGCTTGGGTGCCAGTAGAACATGGTAGCCCCAGCTCCATCGAACGAGTTGACCGAGCTGCTGGAAGATGAGCAGATATAGGATACCTCGGGCAGCGACGTCGTCATCGTTGTCGCCAGGTATTTTATCCCAATGCAGACCCTTGAGGGTTTGCGCAAACGCGACCACGAGAGAAATCGGGAGAGAGTTGGAGTTGCCAAAGACACCCATAGCGGTGACGAAGTTTGTTGCCCGCTTGTTGAAGCGGAAAACGCGGGAGACGAGAATGGAGACGATCCATGATACTGAAGTTTGGACGATGAAGATGACGGGGATGATGGCGAGATCAGCAAGTGCGTTGACACTTAGTTGAGAGGCAAGTTTCTGGAAGACTATATCGTGAGGCGAAGAAGGACAAAGAAAGATGTGGTTAGCAAACAATGCTGAATCGCAAGAACAATTTGATAATACGAGACCATCAAAATGGGATGGCGCGCCAGGCTAGTCACCAGCGACTTTGGCGATTGAACCAATAAAACTTACTCAGGCAGGGGTGAATAGCATAATATTCAAGTTGGCTAGAATTTTTGCTTATCGGCGTCAAAATGGCCTAGCCTCGCGATGATGTAGCCCGGGAGACTAATGCAGACGACCTCGAGGATGGCCGAAAAGACGAGCAGCATCAGCCGACCCAAGGGTGGATGGGAATCATGGTCGCCGCCGCCGCCGCCGCCAAAGACATTCTGTAGGTGCGCCGTGTCATCGGGCAGGAGATAGGTAGAGGGGCGGAGCTTGTTGAGGTTCAGATGGGTGTCGAAGAACGAGGCCATCGCAGTTCCGGAAATATCAATTCCGGTAGCCTTTACGTATGGGTTGATGTACTAGCCAATATGGCTTGTGGATGAAGTAATTAGGACGGGGAAGGAAAGAAGAAAAAGAAAGAGAAAAGGAATACGTCAAAGGTTTAACATCATGGTCGAGAGCATTTATTATCAGGAGACGACGCGCACCTCATTCCCCGGCCTCTTCCATGTGGAAAACACCCTTGCTCTTTCCTTGTCGTTGTTCAATAGGTGACGGGGAACCCTCCTTCCGTCGCCAGCATTCGACCCACACCGACGGAAAGGAAATGTCACAGCCCCCTTTCGGACGCCTCTTTTTCCTTTTCGCTCCCTTTCGATTAGGATTTGCGTTTGACTGGGGGGTGGTTAGACAAAACTTTCGGGATCGAACCCACTCGTTTGGTCTTGGCCCCTTTGGTTTTTTTCTTTCGTTGTTTTTCGGGGAGCGCGCAAGCACTATGTGGCGCTGATAAGGTTCGACGTCATGGAGGTTGCAGATGTCGTTGTCTGTACCTCGAAGTTGCCTCATCCGGAGTCGTGCTCCGATTACGCCGTTTGATTGGTAGAAAGCTGACGTTTTTCAGGGCTGAGCTGGTCCTGCATCTTTGCTGAAGCTTCGGTGCTGCGCGGTACAAAGGGAGCAATTGAAGGGAACAAAGCACGGGAGCTGGAGCCTGGAGGGGACCGAAGACTTGAAGGGTACTTGTACTACGTGCGAACTCCTCTACGGCAGCACGGTGCTTGGGCTCCAGTTCGGTCAAGCTCAGCCAGAATCCAATTTCGGAAGCTACGGGGCTCTCTTGGCCTCATCTTTCTCTGTTTAGGCATCGAGGGCGATGAGCGAGCACGGCAGAGACGCGAGGGGCTCATGGGGCGAAGGCTAGGAAGATTTCTTCTACTTGATCGCCAAGTCGTGACGAAGGGCAGGCTTGGTCAAACGCGAAATAATATCTCCATTTCCTTTTTTCTTTCGCAAATCAGCACAGCCGAAGGGAGGCAACCCTTGGGCCATGTTCAATAAACCGCCCGATCAAGAAAGCGGCCGCGCAAACCATCCGACGCCACATGCTTTTAGGCTGGCACAAAACTTCACCTGTGGCGCCCACCCGTCTGGAGAAGGTCAAGGAACACCCTCGGCCGGTTTCCATTTGATTTGAACAAGGTCGCTCTTGATGCTCGATGACAACTCTTCGATGTCTTAATTACCCGTAGCATACCACGGTAGAGTGGGGCGGGAGACAGCACTCAATAATCATGCTCATACATTCTCTTCTTTATTCTTCTGGGCTTCTTTCTCTGTTCTTCCAAAGGGTGGACTGCAACGGCCGGTCAGCCAAGGCCATGGGAGAAACAAGGATCAATTGATGTGTCTCGCAAGATGATAACTATCAGTTGCGAGACCGATATCACATTGTTTGATCTCGCCTTTGTGATTGCTACACCACAAACATGTGCAAGCCTACGCGGTACGCTCTTGCGCGCGCATGCAGCGAAGGCATTTGTGAGCATCAATGACAACATTGAAAATAGAAGACCATGACTCGATGCAATGGATCGCCTTAGAAAGGTGCCAATAGCCAAGACTGACGTCGCAAGAAGGCCACGCCTTCCCCAATTCCTTATCTTGACGAGATGAGCGATGGGCGTACCAGGGCACCAACGTCCGAGATCAGTCGCCGGCCCCTCCCAGCTCTGGGTTTGTAATCATTGTTGCTCGCCAGATCTCTGTGCTCCTACTGATACTGATTTGCTGCAAGTTGTTGTGAGCCGCCTCCATGCACCTCAAGAGCACCTACGTAATTCACTCATTCTTCGTGAATCGTGAACAGGAGCAACGATCCAAAGTTTTGCTTCTTCTGCCTCGCTTGACCACCCGAGAGGGCAAAAGCCCTGTTTTGGCTTCTTCTTTTTTTTTTCTTTTTTTCTTCTTTTTTGGCTTGGCAATAACGAACTTCCCCGTCCAGGTGTTAATACTGAGGCCCGATGAAATAAGCTTGATGCATGGTTCAAGCACCATGACGATGTTCCATGGAACAGAAGAATAATTCCGAACCAACCATAAGCGCTAGGACTAAGCGAAGCGAAGGATGGGGAGAACCCAGCAGACAGAGCTCAATGTCTCGTCATTCCATGAACCGTCTTGAACTGGGGACCACGCACCTAGCCAAGAACACATGCGCTACTCCCCAAAGAAGACCGTTAATTATAAAAGAGCAATTAATATTATTGGAAGGAAAAAGGAGGAAAGAGGAAAAGAAAGAGAAAGAACATTGAACCAAGCGAGTTGAAGGAACAATGGTGCCAGAAGAGAGAATATTGGGCCAAGCTGCAGCGCCGAGTCTTGGCGGAGCGTCCCAATGTCTTCCTCGCCTCTGTCTCTCCCTCACTCTCTTTCTGCTCAGTAGAATAAATTCGGGTAATTGGACGCTACGTCTGTGACTCCCCGTTTGAAACGCGATCGAAAGCTAAATCAAAAAAGCGAGGGGTGCAGCAGTGACGGCATGATCGCCGATAAAAGCTAGCGCGGCAGAGGAATCGCAGCTATGACGACGATCGAAAAAAGGGTGACAGCGACGCAAAGACCCCCGCTTCCTTCCCTTCCCCCACTTCCACCCTTGATCAATCCCACTCCCACTCCTACTGGGCAGCACCCGAAATGGGGGATTGGGACCTGAAGACGGAGGGGAGCAAGGTCAGTGGCCCCGGGCCAGGCGAAAGAGAGAAGAATAAAGAATAAAGAGAAAAGGAATGGAGCTCTTGTCGTGAGAGGCTTGGGAGGCTTCGGGGGGGCAAGGAGGATCAATGGATGTCTCAACAAACCGTCATCCCGGCCGTCCCTGTTTCTTCAACCTGTGTGACCAATGGGCTGGCTCAAGGCTCCTTGCCCCGATTCTCCTGTGTTGACGTGATGCACGCAAATTCAGTAGAACGTCAGCCGTTCGGGTGTGCCAAGAAGGACGTCCCTGTCACCACCGGGCCCTCCCTTTCCCTTCAAATGGAAGAGTATCAACCAAGGATGCGACTGCGGAAAGTGGAGGGGAGAGCGAGAAGCGCTCAAGTGTCCCTTGCGTCTTCGTTCCTCGTTCTTCAAATCCTCCAGATCGGAACGCCTCTTCTCGTTGGCCAACAAGAAGGATTTTGCTCGATGAATCATCCATTGGAAGTACCGAGGCCACGGTGCTTCGTAGGTAGCCATAGATAGATCCATCCATGGATGAATCAATGGATGGGTCTATCAAAGGCATGTATACCAAGGTAGGACGGAGCCGTAGACTTTGCTCCGGACATGTACAGAGCCCACATCTCCCTCGACATCCATCGGGCTTCCCATCATCCCAAAAACCCCACTCGCCAAAAAACAAAAAAGAGAGCCCAGGTTCCCCTCTACACCCACATATGCAAGCTCGCGCCTTTTCTAGCGGCAAACCTCCCAGAGGCGCCGGTTTGGACAGGGGCACGATCAGGGCAGGCCTGGCAAGCATTTGATTACCTTGGTTTTCCCTCTTGCCCTCGATCCGCAAACCCCGCGAGTGTATGACCGATGCGGCCTAGTGCGTAATACTCTGTTTTAATTTTTTATTTCTTCTTTCCCTCCCGCGAGGCTCCTTCGTCATCGATTTTCTCTGGGCTGGCGACGTGGGCTTGCGGATTTCCGCCGCCGGTGGCAGGGGACAGAGGAAACACGCGAGAGAGACGGTTGGAGCCCGTCCGCCGATACCGTAACCACGATCCGCCCGCCCATGGAACCCCCAACGTCTCCTCCCTCTCTCTTTCTTATGTTGTCGGAGGCGGGACAAGGAGACGAGTCATCACGCAGGACGGGGACGCGTCCGACTAGGTGGGACTTGCCATTTTGATTTGGGACCGTCTATTGCCCGTCCCGCCCCGGAACTTGAAACGGGTGCTACCGCTCATCAATGGATGTCTCTTTTGTATCTGTAGATGGGAGTTGATGTACGCAATCCCTTTTTCTTGTGGAAAATGGGCGCACCGAGCAGGTCTCTCTTTCCGTGTCTCTCCTTTGGCATTGGGTAGTCGGGAAGGCCGGTGGCGAGCGAGGGAACGAGTCGAAGAATGGAACGCTCCGTTGAATCATGAGGGACGACCGCGCCGCACCGCACCGCACCGGAGCTCCAAGCCGGTCGTTCCAAAACCAAGAATCAGGAAAAAAAAATTAGTATAGAAAAGACATGTGGTTGTAATGACTTGGATCGCGGTGGTTATCCGTCCATGATATGCAGTATTCTACCTGTCCCGTCGGCGTGTCCAGCAAATAGCTTCTTTGCTCCTCGCCTTGCGATGGATCTTTGCCTCTTTGGATCATACTGACAGGTACATTTGCACGCCAACAACGTGGATGGAGTACTTCGCGGCCCCCATTTGATCCAACCTGCCACGCTGATCCCGACCCTGACAATGGAAGACTTTCCCTGCCTACCTTGAGATGTTCAGTAGATCGCACCTCTTTTTTAATTTGACACGTCCGTTCTGATAGTCTCTCTTCTCATGGACCATGGACCGCGTTCGAGGCTTTCTATTCCCCCAATCGCCAAGAGCTTGGTAGACGTGGGGACTCGAACGATGTAGGACTTTGAGTGCAGAGGTCGTCAGCGTACCTCGTCCACCCACAACGAATAGGAAGGGTCGCATGCAACCGTTTTCTTTAAGCCTCCCATTCCAGGATAAAGAGGAAAAAAAGATGGCAATGACGAAAGCCGGGAACGCGGCTGACATGGATGGCGAAATGAGTATCCAAAAGCGTGGTCCGCCCAAGGTTCCCAAGCCACAGAAGTATTACATGTAGGGAATAATGCTGTTCTAGACTCTTGCCCTTGTCGTCGCGGAGATCTTTCATCACCTCGTATATGCCTGCCTTGGTGATGTACTGGCGATGGCTGGAGTGATATGATTGACCCGCCCCCATTTATCTAGCGAGCAGGGCATACAACAAGACTGTTCGTTCTACATGTAGACTAGAGATACATCTTCTTTTACGGCTTCAACTAGCCAACGGCCTATTAGCAGTCTACGTCTTTCAAGTCCAGCTCGGCCTGGCCATAGTGGGTGACGATACGAGCTAGCAGGGCTACAAATAATCGAGAGAGTATCGTGGAAAAAGGCAGGGTTGAGGTGAAGTTGGGCCAAAGCCGGCCACGGCGGGCTGCTGGTCGATTTCCCCTAGTAAAACGGCTCGCAAAACGGAGGGTGAAGCTGCACGGCAAGTGCCCACGCTATGTGGACTGCCGTGGAAGCGTCTGGCAGTGACTAAGTGAGCACGAGCGGCAGGGCCAGCGAGAGCATTGGGTCTACTACGAATCTTTCGGTAGTGGGACTAGGGGGACCAGTGACAATCAGGGACCCGAAAACAAGCCCGCCACCCGGCAGAAACAAGCTTCGACTTGCCTTCTCCATCCGCCAACCCACTTGCCACCCTTCAATGGATCCATGTACTATCTAGGAGTCCTCTAGTAGAACGAGTTCTTGGTTCTCAAGGCCCATTAATCCCTTTCCTTCCCGCGGGAAATTCCTCCAGATATCCCCTCCCCCTTTTTGTTGTCTCTTCAATGTTCTTTCCTGTCTCAATTTGCACTTCATCATATTTGATCTATAGATCCTACTGCGTTTAAACAAGGCCGCTCCGCTCCGACACGGGCTCCCCCCTCGTTCTTCCAGCCCCCACTTCGCTTCCCGTTGGCGCCGTCTTTTGACATTGTGCCCCTCCCACCAGTGCCCAGCGCCCAGTTGCCCAGTGCTCAGTGCCCAGTGCTCAGCGCCCAGTTGTCCAGTGCCTTGTTTGGTGGCAAAAGAGACAGTGACGGTCACAGTGCCCGAGAGCCCGAGTCCCAGTTTGTGGCTTGTTGAGCCTTCCCTGACCGAGACGCGACCCCTCCTTCCGTTTTCTCTCCTTTCCTTTTCTCCCCTCCACCTCCACGATTCACTGGCTGCGACTGCCCCGCTACTAAAAGGCGAGAAAGCAAGAACTTTGCACGAGGAGAAAAAAAAAAAGGCCAGCCACGAGCGACAACGAAACAACGAACACTATACAAAGACAGAACGAGCAAGGCAGGAAAACCAAAATCAGCCCAAGGGTAAATCTTTCGTTAGTCCCAGACACCTTTTTTCTTCTTCTTTCCCTTTCCCCAAACCCACGACAAAGAAGCCTTATCTTGGCGCATCATCCCCCTTGGACCTCGCTTTTATTTTTATTTGATTCCGCGATTTCGGATTCCGTATCGCCCGACTCCCTCCCTCGACAACTCTCTGCCTACAGAGTTTCTCTTGCGAGACGTTGCCCTGACCTCCAGTGCCCCCAGTCTGCACGCGACCTGACCCACGTCTTCGGTTCTTCAACCCGCTACAACGAGGAGCGAAACCTGATCACCAACCAACCCGGACTTCTCGGCGAAAACCTCCTCGCCTGCCCGGCCTCAACCCACGCATCACGACGGGCAGCAGAGAGCCAGTACACACAGACTCGTCTCACGCTGTGCTCACTCGACGTACCCTAGGCCGACATCCGTTTCGCCGAGACCCCATGTGGTCGCATTGCTAACCGCGAGTTCCTTTTTTCGCCATACATTCTCTACTTCACCTGCCCCACTTCTTCATCGACTCTACTTTCCACGCGCCGTCCTCCCTCTAGCGAGCCCGCGTCCAACCCCCTCCCTTTTGAACGAAGTTTATCCGCTCTTTTCCGACCACCTACTCCATCAGACGCAAGCCCACAATAATCGGGGAATTCGTTCCTTGCCGAGATAGCAGCACAACGCCCTCTCGGGCCGTCCGAAGCACATATCTACAACATCTAACCTACCATGGACCCCATACCGTCCACGCCCGACGAGGTTCTCTCGGACGGCTTTGATAGCAACCCCAACTCTCCTATATCCGGCCAGTCCTCGCAGGCTAGCACACCTCTCGAAAATGCCGGCGCAGAGCAGTTGGGTGGGGACACTGTAAAACGGTTACCGTCTCTTCGTTCCGTGTCCGACCCTCAGAACATGAACCCGAACTCGACGCCGCTCGGCACACTCTCCAACGCTAGGCGCCCGCCAGCCTCGTCGGTTTTGGGCGGTGCTCTCACCGGCAGCGACGCCATGCTCAAAGCCCGCTCTCTTGCCCAGGCCAGGCTTGGCAAGCCACCCCCAATGTCATCTCCCCACCGGCGGGCCCTCGCCTGTCCAAGGCCGTTCGTCTCCCGTAGGCCCAGGCCCCTTTGCTGGCGGGTTTGCCGGTAACATCCGGCTCCCGCCTGGCGTTATTAGGCCTGGGCTGCCGGGGAGCTCGGTGTCCAGCCCCATCATGTCCAGCAAACCCCAGGGATTGAGTGCGAGACGGGGATGAAGTTGCAAATGACGCCTGATTCGCCGGCGGTGGCGCCGAAGCTGTCCGACATGAAGTTGCCCCCACAGAACATGGCCAGCCTAACGGAGCGGGCCAAGGCTCCAAGATGGACGACTTCAAAAGTACATTGACGCGGAAAAGGGCTGGATCACGTTTGAGGGCGCGGCCACGATTACGAATAAAGGAGTCAACTTTTCTAATGGCAAATCATTCCACATGTCGCTCGACGAGGTGGAGCCTTTGGGCGAGCTAGGGAAGGGCAACTACGGAACGGTGTACAAGGTGCGGCACGCGAGACCCACGCGGCCCCGATTCGGACAGGGTCTATCAGGGTTCCGGGCCTCGTCGAGCACATCCATGACGGACATTTCGGAGGCCACCACGCTCACTAACGGGACGCCGGGTGCCACGCCGAACAACTGCACCGGCGTCATCATGGCGATGAAGGAGATTCGATTGGAGCTGGACGAAGCCAAGTTTACGACGATTTTGAAAGAGCTCGTGATCCTGCACGAATGCGTCTCGCCGTATATTATTGATTTTTACGGCGCGTTTTTCCAAGAGGGTGCGGTGTACATGTGTATCGAGTACATGGACGGTGGCTCCATTGACAAGATCTACTCGGGAGGTATTCCGGAAGAGGTGTTGCGGCGGATAACGTACGCTACCATTATGGGCCTCAAGACCCTCAAGGACCAGCACAACATTATCCACAGGGACGTGAAGCCCACCAACATACTCATCAACCGAAAGGGGCAGATCAAGATTTGCGATTTCGGCGTCAGCGGCAACCTCGTGGCGTCCATTGCGAAAACCAACATTGGCTGCCAGAGCTACATGGCGCCGGAGAGGATATCGGGCAGCGGTATGAATTCGGCGGGCTCTGACGGCACCTATAGCGTCCAGAGCGACATCTGGAGCCTTGGTCTCACCGTGATTGAGTGCGCGCTCGGCAAATACCCTTATCCTCCCGAGGTGGCCTCGACCATCTTTAGCCAGCTCAGCGTAAGTGATTGCTTTGCTTGGATGATTAAATAACTATGATGCTAACGATATCTGTGTGTTCTAGGCCATTGTCGATGGCGAGCCCCGGACCTACCCGCGGAAGGATACTCGGAGACGGCACGAAACTTTGTGCGGGGATGCCTAAACAAGGTTGCCAAGATGCGGCCGACGTACGCCATGTTGTTGAAGCACCCGTGGATGAAACCTCTGGCCGAATACGACACTATAACAGAAGAGCCCGAATCTGATGGGGATTCGGACGGAGTAGACTCGGTCGCGGACAGCATGAGCAAGATGCGCTTCCGGGCCAATGCCGAAGACGTGATTGTGGCAGAGTGGGTCAAGGGCGTGCTGGATAGCAGAGGCACCCAGGAGGTGCAGCAGTCCTCGCGGCCAGCCTTGCACGCGGCGCCTCTTGACAGCGTGAGCCCTGTGGGAACGCCGTCTGCCGAATAGACAATACAATGGAACGGCGCCTCTTTTCCCTTTTCTCTTCATGCACAGTCTTACATCCTAGTCCTTTTCTCATTTCGTCTTCAACCTCACGTTGCGTCCGGTTCGGGTCTGTCTTGTTCTTTTTTTTTTTTTTTTTGTTGCTCCCCTTCATGCTTCCCTTTTCTGCGGGCTCTCCTTGTACTTCTGGGACATAGCGTTTGTTTCTTTTGTCATAAATGCCGATGAAGCGAGTCTCACAGTCAAAAGCTGAGTATTAGCGTTGTCGCCGCGCCCCCCTCCCAATTGTGTGTTGGGTTGGTATTAGTAGCTAAACTTTGTGTGAGGAGGGAATCCGGGGCCTGGAGTCTATATCCAACCATATTCCTGCATTTGATATCATGATGCACTCTTGTAACCCCCACTGCTTCTCTTATTTCTTTTTCCTTTTTCTCTCCCTCGTTGGAACGGTTTTCCTTGTTCTCCATCTCCATCATGTTCTCGGTTCCACGGCATCGTCATCATCCAAAGAAGAAGAAGAAGAAGGGGAGGAAAGAAAGCGAATAGGAACATAGCGCGAGCGAGAATCCACAGATGTAGTAGTTTATTAGGCAACATGCAGCCTTGGAAGACCACGCCTGATTCTCTCTCGTCATGAGAGGTTTTGCTTGGTTTTTTAATCTTAACTCTTCGACTTTTTCTTGCTCTTCTTGGTGATATTTTGACTGACATTTTTCCCTGCTTACTGTTGATCCTAGTAATTTTTGTCGTTGGGATGGAATGGTGTGAAAAAGTGATTAATGAATCCAAGACAGATTGGCAGCATATTCATCAAAGGTATTGAATCTTGGCCAATCACCATGTGTTCTGGTTCCTGCTTCTACGTGTCTGCCCTTTGCTCATGGATGGGGAAAAGCAATAAAATCATTGTTTGGGCTTGGAGATGGAGGAAATCTTCCCGTGGAGAGTGCCGGGCGCGGCTTTCCTGCGCAAGATCCAACTGGCCGCTGACGCAGATGAAGTGAGACAGATGGAATCAAGCCCCAGAAGATACAGCAGCGTCGTCTTATTCCTCCTACGCATTCGGTATCGAGGAATTTACACGGCATGGAGACATAGCAAGAATCAATAGAATAAGAGTCCCGACGTGAGGAAAAGGTTGGTTTGGAATTAAGTAGTAAAAGGAGAGTCGAGTCGCCTGCTTACCCCCTCTAGCTCCTCGTAGTGTCTATGCATTTTGGCGATCAATGTGAATCAGGACTGTGATGGACGACAAGTAGGAAAAATAAACGACAAAACATAGAAAAAGACCACTTCCACGATCCATTAGCATCCCCACACTTTCTCCCTGCACATCGGTTCGTTTCAGCAAAAGTTGCAACAAACTCAGCAAATCCTTCTATAAGAAAAACAAGCTTCCGCGGGCTTCACGGTAAGCTATGGGCGAGGACTTAGGGATGATTTTATCCCACGAATTTAGTTGTACTCGTCCTTGACCCTCCTGGAGTCGTAGGCGTCGCCCCGCCTGTTCCAGAACCGGCGGGTACGGGGAGCGGCGGTAGTGCCGGCAGGGAGGGTACCGTCGTCGTAGGCGGCGCCGGCGGTGTTGTTGTAGGTGGCGTTGTTGTAGGTGGTGCCGGCGGTGGTGCCGCGGTCGTAGTGGCGGCGGGAGTCGTCCTTCTTGCGGATGCCGCCGCAGAAGAGGAGGGAGGCGAGGAGGAGAGAGGCCCAGCCGGCCCATGCCCAGGCAAAGGCGTAGGTGCCGATATTGGCGTCGCGGCCGTCGCGGCGGAAGGCGTTGCGGGCCTTGACGAAGGTGATGCTGAAGAAAAGGGGACTATGTTAGCAGGGGGATGTTTTGACTCATAAGAGAGAGAAACAAGGTTGTTCAACGTACGTCATGAGAACGACGGCGATAGTCCAAAAGACAAGGGCAGTCAAGCCAGCCAAGCTCGCGAGGAGAGAGCCGATGCGGCCGCAGCAGGCGAGGAAGCTACCGAAAAAGGCAATAGTGGTGAAGAAGAGGGCGATGAGGAAAAAGACCCAGCCGAAGCGCCACATGTAGTAGTAGTAGGAGGAGGTGGTGTCGCCGCCGCGGGAGCCGTCGAGGCCGTTGGGGACGCCGACGGCGTCGCCGTCCCAGGCGCTACCAAAGGCGGGGGCGGCGTGGGCCTTGCCGCAGTCGTAGTTTTGGCGGCCGCACATCAAAAGTAGGTCCAGCGGGTGGTGTCGCGGGCGCCGGCGAGGCCGCTGGTGTCGGCCTGGAGGAAGTAGGTGCGGTTGAAGGGGGTGTGGTTGCTCACGCCGGAGAGGATGAGGAAGAAGAGGAAGAGGAGGGAGAGGCCGGTGAGGACGAGGCCTGCGATGCTGAGGGGGACGCCTGTTTTTGGAAGGGAGAGGGTTAGTTGAGGAAAGAAAGGCGGGGGAAGGGAAAAGGTGTAACGACGTACGTGAACGCATGATGGCGGGTTTGTGTTTTGCTGAAGCTTGGGAAGCTTTCGAGAGTTGGTGGGTGGTTCGATCTCTTGTTTGGTGTTTGGGGATTTGTCGTGGTTGGGACGAGTAGGAGAAGAGGTCTACTCGTACTCTTCGAAGTTGTAAGAGGGTGTTAACTCTTGGTTGGCCTATGCTGGAGGGAGGGGAGAAGAAAGAAGAGAAGCAAGAAAAGTCAGCAAAGCTCAGAGGTTACGAGCGCAATAGGTTTTTATGGTTGTCCCGACATGGTCTCATGTTGGAGGGGAGAGTAGGGGAGTAGATGGGGGAGTACAGGGAACCATAATGCCTGACACAAGACAACATGTGTTGAAGAACATTTTCCCCAATGCAAGGTGGTCGTGGGCCAAGAACGGGACTATGAGCTCATAGGTTCTTCGTTGGGGCGTGTAGTGTGAGCAGGAGGGGAGGGGGTGTGTGTGTGAGTTGGGAGTGGTGTGTGTATAAGGCCGAGACAAGGCAAAAGCTAGACGAACGACCATGAAGAAAAAGGGAAAACTTGGGCCAAGAACCCAAAACAGCCAAGACAAGTATGTGGGAGAGAGTGAAGTTTGAGGGAGGGGAGGGAACCCAAAAAAAAAAAGAAGAAAAAAAGAAAGGGACAGTGAGGCCCCTTGTTTTTGCTCACCTTGGGGATATCGTGAGGGGTGTTGATAGGTTTGGAGATGTGAATCGCGCTCAACGTACAAGGCTGGAAACACAAAAAGAAGAATCTTCCCAAAGTTGACGCGGGAGTCTGAGTTGATGTGAATACTGGATAAGGAGAAGGGGAGATTGAGGAAAGGGGAAATACAGGCCCCGGATGCCTTTGTGCGAGGTTTATATGATGCTGGCGCAAGGCGGGAGCCAAGGCGACGTGCGTGGAACGGAGCCAGCTTGGGAGAGTGGAACCACTGAATACATCACCAGCCAAGAGCAGAGGGTTCTTTTTTTTTCTTTTTTTTTCTTCCTCTCAAGGGAAACACTGGAGGGCTGACGATTACCCACCTCGGCACTGATGTGTCGTGTAACTCATCCCCTTGGACTGTGGGAGAGAAGAGCCAAGAGGCGATTACGTAGGTGAGGCTCATACCGGAACGGGGAGCCGATCTTGGTACGGAAGTGGAAACAGCTTAAAGTTGGGTCGATGATGCAACGAGACGCCGCGGACTTCTTTTACTTTTTGTCTTTTTTCCGGTGCAAGAAGGCTCGTCTTAAGAGGGAATTTGTCGCTTTTGTTGTTTTTATTTCTTATTTCTTTTTATTAAATCGTAGTGCTTCTATTTCTTCACCCTCATATTTCACTGCTCTCCGGGCCTACATGGAGTTTTGGAGCAGTCTTGCGTTTGTGGTCCATTGGGTCGTGTTAGTCAAAAGGAAATGGATTGACGAAACACTCTGGTTGGGACTGGCCGACTAGCCAAGCTAGATCATGGGGCACATCCCATTCATGGTACACGTATATGTACGGTACCACGTCGCACGTCGTCTTCCAGCAAGGTGGGGAGAGGGCCGAGGCGAGGGCAGATCGAAATCGGCACAGATTGACGTCGTAACCGGGGATTCACTTGCTCCCAGTTTCCCTTTTTTCCTCTTTAGGCCTGATAGGTTTGGGTAGTGGGCAGTGGGCACGCACGCGACAAGAAGAAGATTGAAACATTTGAAGAGTGTGGAGCAGGGGATAGCAACACCGGCACACGGCACACGGCACAAGCGTAGTCGCAACTATTTCGTCCAACGCCGTCACACTCTTTAGGAAAACCACTACATCCAGAGGGGAAGGAGCCTGATTCAAGACAGCGCCATCGTGCAGTATGACTGGATGCATAGCATGTACAAGTCGACTATAGCCCGGTGCGGACGGGATGAAAAGTCAATAAGCTACTATGGCCAAGGCGAGTGGGAGAGAAAAGACATATCCATGGATCCGTGGATGGCATCAAAGACGAGAGAAGTAGAGAGAAGCAGAGACTTGCATACAACCCCCAGGAGCCAATGCTCTTCCCACTTCAACGCCAAAAGTATCAGAGAGTTCATCAGGCCTGGCCATTGTCTGAGCTCCGGGGACCAAGGTGGGGCTGAACTAGGACGGGGCTAGTTCGCCAGTCCGGTCTACCAGACCCCGAATTCTATTCCTGTATGTTTTTCCCTTGGATCCAATGGGTGCATTGTTTCAATCAATAGGGCAACGCAATGGCGGCAAGGCTCAGACACCGACCAGACCGACCAGACCTCGCCCTCTGCTCCACAGTCCCTCGCCCATCTCGTGGCATAAGCTTTATTCGGCGAACCACTGCCCTTTGCTTTGGAAATTCGAGATTCAAGTGGGGAGGAGAAGAGGACTTTGACGTTGTAAGCCATCGAAACTTGATGGCAGCAATCGTCGACGAATCGGAAATTTCACACAAGCTTGCTTTTCACTCAAATCTCGAATAATGGCTCCATCGTTTAATGGCTATGATGAGCACCCAGAAAAAAAGCTACAAACAAAAGATTGACAAGACCTCATGGCACGCCAAGAGAGTCACTGGCTGCCCTCCTCTTCCCATCTTCACCTTCACATGGTAGTGGCGTGCGGGTGGGGCGCACACGACGCGACGGTGAGCCTGAGCTGACGAAAGCGCTTATCGAGCCATGACGACAGTGGCGGGGTCTTTGGCCTTTGATGAGTCTCTTGCAGGTTCTCGAGGCGACCAAAAAAGCGGGGTCCTCCCAGCCTTAACACTGTTTGCTCTGTTCCCCGACAAAGCCAGACAAGCCAGACAAACACAGTTGAGCGGACCCCTTCCGATCGAGATCAATTGATCTTGCCGTGTCACTTGTCACCGTCTACCCGTTCTATTTTCCGAGTCGGAACAAGGCCAAGGCCGGGAGGGCAGCGGCGTCAAACTTCTTTGGCAGCCAATAGTTTCCTACCCTAAAGCTGTCGAGCGAGAGCCAATTGATAGCGGGAGCTTTTTATTTTCCTGGTCAATGTTTCTTTGCTTTACCTCCAGATGTACCCTCATAATTGTTAGTCTAGGGCATGCTACGTCGAGACCTAGAAGTTTACATCACGGAGGCCTCACCGAAGAACAGGAGCCTCGTCCCTGCTCATAGAACATTGAAGTCGGAAGGGAGCACTTGAAATTGCCCTCTACTTCGCCCTTAGACTCCTTAACGGTTCATTCAATAACGAAAGCCGGTTTAGCAACGCCACATCTCAAGACGATACCGCCTGTCGACGGAGGTTTTCTCCGTCAAGGTATAAACAAGAAGGAGAGACATTCCCGAACTCAATTGTTCAGCCTAGACGCTCACTTACTATGATTCCCTCAATATTTCCTTTTAAACAAAAATGCAACAAAGACCGGGGAAGCATACGTAGTTCATCGGCTTCTCGCAAATCTTACAGCAGTTTCCCGTCCCGTCTTTCAGGGTCTTGGGCACGCTTCCCCAGACCTATCCCCCGACTGTGAGCCATTGTTGCATTTTTTTCCCTGCATACGACGCAGACGATGCCGCGCGGTTCAGCCCAGCCACTCCCACCTTCCCCACTTCCGTCCCTATTTTTTGTATTTCTCTCTCTCGCAGGAGTAAAGATAGAGAGGCATTTTCTAGCTCCCTAGATAGATCTCAGCTTGAACTGTTGCGCCGTTTTCAGGCTGTTCAAAATCGATTCGAGCACAGGGAAGGCTCAGAAACTTACAACTTTCCAGCTCCACCAGCCTCGCTCATACGTCAAAACTCGTCAAGGCTCCAAACCAAGCCAAGACAGCCAAGGCTGGCGGCTCTCTGCCTCCATCCAAAAATGAATGAACCCTACCAGTCCCGCTCAGCGCCGTCATTCCTAGCCACACTCGCCCAGGGATAACAAGGGAGCTAGCTCTCTATTCATTCGACACATCATCACCATCACCCCACACATTCACACTCGCACTCATCATCGCCCACGCTCAGGCCCACGTACACGCTACGCCATCGACGCTCGGGTACAAAACTCTCCTCCATTTTACCTCTGTGTCACTTGCCCTCTAGTCGCAGCCAAAAAAACTCAGCCAATCTCCAAAGCTCTAGAGTTTATCGCAAGGTCGCTCTGCCTCTGCTCTGCTCTTCCTCACACGCACCCCCAATGACGTGGTCTAGACTGCCAAGCCACCCTTGGCGTGGCCACAATGAGGGTGTGCGCACACATTGCTTCCATGTTGCACAGCTGGCAGAGTGTCTCCCAGCGTGGTTGATTTCCCCTCTTACTAGTATTCTTCCCTCCTCTCACACATCTCGTCTTCACATATGCCCGTGATAAAAACCCTCTTTTAAGGGTCGTAACACGCTTGCTGCTGCTACCTCCTCCATCCGCGCTTTGTAAATTGGGCGTTTTTGAACTGCCACGTAGAAAATGAACCAACATCAATCAAGTAGGATAAGACTTTGTTTGGCTATCCCCGAATGGCAGCATTGGCAGCATCTAGACGATCCATGATGTCACCTACAAGCTAGGTCTGTTCCCATCACCGAAAGTGAGGTCATCAGAATCACAAGCCGGACATTCTTCTTCCCTGCACTCACTCACACTTTCCCAATCCGGCCAGCCACTCCATCACTTGCCATCAGCCCCACAATTCCATCGGCCCGTCGCGCACAGACCATTCAAGCAACCTTTTGCGCAAGCTTTCCCAAGCTCAACGCATCGCGAATGAAGCCAGAAAAAAAAAAGCTCGTAGATCGAACACTACCCGCGTCAACAAACCCATCGCGCCGCGACCAAGCCGTCCTTTTCCACAACGAACACACAAAAATGCCTAGCCCGATATAGCCCCCCTCTAATCAACAAGCAATAGGAGAAGAGGCACCCTCATCTCCCTCCTCCTCCTCCATCGCGATGCGGGTCCCCTCCGGCCCCTCGCCCGCCGAACCCCCTTCCCTCTCCCGACCCTCCCCCACCGACGCGCCTTCCGCCTCGCCCGCATCCACCTCCCCAACCAGTGGCCCTCGTACACCCCTTACCCCCTCGCCTCCGAGCTTCAATCCGTCCTCGCCGCGCCCCACCACGCCTACAAGGCCTCCTCCTCACCTTCCTCACCTCGCTCACCCGCCGCCGGCGACGCGCCGAACCCCGTCCTCCTCTCCTTCACCCCGCCCCCACATACACCCTCGGCCGCCGCCAACGCTCCCTAACCCCCGACCAACTCACCACCCTCTCCGCCCCGCTCTCCGTCCAGAGCCCGCCCTTCTCCTCGTTGCCCTCCTCCTCCTCTTCTCCCGACCCCCGCTCCTCTTCACCCCCGAAATCCACCACTCCCCGCGGCGGCCTCACCACCTACCACGGCCCCGGCCAACTCGTCTTCTGGCCCGTCGTCGACCTCCGCTCCCCCTCCACCCCCACCTCTCCGTCCGCGCCTACGCCTCCCTCCTCGAAGACGTCACCGCCTCCCTCCTCTCTTCCCGCTTCGGCATCGCCACCTTTCGCGATCCCGACAACCCCGGCGTCTGGGTCCGTTCCTCTTCTTCTTCCTCCTCCTTCGACCCCCCCCCGCGCCGCAACCCACCCCGCGCCCCGACCGCAAAATCGCCGCCCTCGGCATCCACCTCCGCCGACACGTCGCCACCCTCGGCCTCGCCCTCAACCTCTTCGTCCCTACCACCGGTTCCCCACGTCAACCCCTGGTCCCGCTTCGTCCCCTGCGGTATCCCCGACCGCGACGTCACCAGCGTCGCCGCGGAGCTCGGCCTGGACACCCCAAACCCGAACCCGGACCCTGGCGCCTCTGCGGACAAGGGGCTGCGGTGGTCTCTGCTAGAGCCCGCCCTCGTTGCCGAGGAATGGGCTGACGAGTTCCAGAGGAGGCTACGGGCCGGTGCCTGAGGAGGGTTTCTGTCATGACGACTGCTCATAAAACCCTACCTGTATTGCTAGGCCCTGTAAGATATGCGTCTCACACAATGGCTGTGTAGGAAAGCAAAAAATAAATAATAATAGAGAATCATGTCAAAATTAAATAGCAATTTTTACCCTAGTGGCATGGCGACACCTTGGCATTGCGTTCCAAAGAAGATGTAGGTTTGGTATTATGAGAAGAGCTCAAGGAATAAAACGCAAGGAACAGCACCAAGGTATCAATATGGTAAGTAAAACGCATAATGGAAATGGAGACGAAAAAGAAAGATCCCCCAAGCGAAAGCAGAAGAATAGGCGAGACCAAGCACCCCAGGTATGCATGAACGATTGCGAATGTGTGCGTGGCGCATAAGACATATCGAACCAGAACGAGGACGGCGACGCCGCCGCCAACTTTGAACTTTCTACGCCGCAGCTCCCTCAATCCATGTTGAAGTGATGCAAAGGAGCATGCGCGCCCACGTCCACCCTCCCAACCAGGCATCAACCTCCCACCCATCTGGCGCCAGAGGTCGCAGTAGCCTTGAGAGGCACGGTGGGTTCGTGTTCCGCCAGTACATGTACGTAGAGCAGAAAGAGGAGCAGCCAACTTTGGACTCCTTGGTTTCAGCAACATGGTGAAGAGGGGACCAGGTATATATCAAGCAGGGCAAACAAGTCGTAAGAAATACCAACATGGCAACGAGGTGGCAAGACAGCAAGCAAGAGTAGCGTCGTCCCCTTCATAGCATTTCATGTTCTGTTTTTCCGATTGAAGAAACAAAAGACAATGTGTCATCATCATACCCTTCCAAGACAAAGAAAATGAAAAATCCCAATCAGTACATTGTGGTATCCGTTGAATCGTCCCGCTTCCCAATACAGAGAGGAATGAAAAGAAATCACTTCGTTTCCCGAAGTGTGTGTCCCGCATCCCCAAATCCTTTTTCCGTGGTATATTTCCCCAATCGCCAAGGAACCCCTGCTACTGACAAGCACAAGTTGAGAGTTGAAGTAGAAAAGAGAGGAGATTGGGAAAGGGTGACAGAGGACAGCATAATAGATAGATAGAGAGAGAGAGAGAGAGAGAGAGAGAGAGAGAGAGAGTGTGTGTGTGTGTATGTGTGTCTCGAAATGTTGCGGGGAAAGGTTGGGTGTGCCCAGCGGCTCGGAACGGTTCGGAAGGTTGCGGCCATGAAAGCCTCGCTATAGCAAGGACGACCGAGCTATCGTGCGCATGCAAACGCCGCACGGTTCGTCAACGTCTACGCCACACGGACGGCTTCTAGCCCAACAACGCGATATGCGGGAGACCACGAGACTCGCTCCACCATTTTCGTCTCAGTAGTCGTTACTCATGCTTATTTCGAGTTTTCTTGGACCTTGTCCCCCGCTGCTTCCGCTCCGTTCCCCACAGTCGTCATCCGGAACCCATTCCTCGGGGTGAAAGTCGGGGTTGTTGTAGTGGGCCTTGTTATAATGACTGTTCTTGAACATGGCTGTTGTGAACCCGGGTTCGGTAAAATTGGACCCCCTAGCTTGAAATACTCCTGGCTGAAGCGCAATGGATATGTAACCTGAGCGTTCGGAACGGGTGCATGAGACGCGGCTAGAGTACCAGGAGCAGCGCGAGGCCTCGAGGGCAGAGGCGTCGGTTCCACCGCAGGGGCGCTGGGCGCCGCAGGTGGCTGACGCGGGGGCGCTGGGTGGGATGGCACCGTTGACGTGAACGTGGAGGGGTGCATCCACGCCGACGGACCAACCGCCACAAAGTTGCCACCACCCATGGTGGGCGATAGGCCCTGTGACTCGAGAGCAGACATTGATGTCGAAGCGTACGAGAAACCCGGGATGATATTAAGCGGCTCGAAATCGACGGTTGAAAACGCATCAAGACGCGCGTGTGACTCGATAGGCTGGTGGGAAAACGACGCTACTCGGTTAACCTGGATGTTGACCGTCGGCCTGTAAAGAAGATCGTAGTGATCGGGCCGGTACAAGAGGTAGATGACCGAGCCAACGGCAGGCTCTTGTGTTTCCGCACCGTCGGGGAAGCGGTAGATGTTGACCTGGCTGCCTGGGCTTCTGTCGAGATAAGCAATCTCAAGAATCAAGTTGATGGGTTTCAAGAGCATGTTCACAAGCAATATAATGCCCAGATGCTCGATCTCGCGATCGATCCTCTCAAGCACATCGCTGCAGTAGCCAGCGACACCAAGGTCCGCCGGGATGAACGGTTCATACATAGCCGGGTACGACTTGAGGCATGCGCCCGCCAACAGTCTGAAGTGGTATATGAGGGCGTTTGAGCACTCTCTATCGTTGAAGCGGTCCATCAGCACTGCCATGGCAGCATTAGGATCCATCATACGAGCGGCAATGTCCTTCAACAGGCGAACAGTCTCCTCAACCATGTCTTCGAAGACAAAAGTGCTGTAGCCGGTTGATATGAGCACCTGGTTAAGGCTTGTGATTCTGGCGACTTCGGCTTCGACCTGGTTGCGGTCGCCATTGTGGATTAACGTCTCAAAATAGCCAAACCCAATCGCTAAAATCTCGTTAGCGGCCGCCCATTACAAGCGCAAACATGTGGAGCGGGGCAGTGACGTCAAAATAGTTTTGATTTTCAACCGCCAACCTCCTCCCGAGTCGCGGATCGGGGGTGGATGGATGGATGACAAGCGAGAGAGTTGGGAAGGGGGACGATGCGAGAACAAGAAGAAAGTAGTCTTGATCGACGGGAGACTCACCTCGCCAACCACAGTTGCCATCCCCTTGAACGGGGCGATAATGCGAATATAGGTTTGGCAGCGCCTATCAACGGCGGGCTAATTAGATCCAATTCGCACTATTTTAAGCGTCCAAAATGGGAGGGGGTGGGGGCGTGAAACCGCACTTACCAGTGTCTTTTCTACATAGACGGGGTCTGCTTTCGCGTACTCATTTGAAATAGCTGTGCTCGGGGTTCTTTCCCCGACGAGAGGGCCCTGGGAAGAATAAAGTTGTTAGTCGGTTGCTGTCTATGAGCGAATAGTCCAACACCCATTGTCTCTAAAACAAAAAAACTGTAGACGGGGGTTTTGGAAAGGCGCAGTGACTAGCGCATTCCGAAACCGACGAGTCCCTTCCCAAGTTCAATTCGGCCGATCCAGGCAAAGGGGGCGACGAAAGAAGAGAAGCAGGGGAAGACGGGCGCGAGCAGGTAAAAGCGCGCATACCCAGAATGCAAGCAGCGATGAAGAAAGAACAAGGGAAAAGGGAGACAAAGAGAGAGACAGAGAGAGAAAGAAAGAAAGCACCTACATCTAAACGAGGTTGGAACTCGCGGGCCGCGGCTTCTTGTGCGGCAAGCTCGTCCTGAAGAAGATGTGTTGGTTCCATTTTGGAGGCACCAGTGGCGAAGGGTGAGGCAATGGAGTGAGAGGCAGGGCTCAAGTGAGCATGAGAAGAAGGAGAAACCGAGGACGAAGTTGAGGCGCGAGATGCGTTCGAGTATAACAGGGATTGGGGGCGGGATGGGAATGAGGATGATTATGGGCGCGAGCGTGTGGGTGGCCGTGAGGATGGTGGGAGTGGTGGGAGGAGAGAGGGTGGGAAAGAGGAGATTGTGACTGGTGTGGGTGGGTACGGTTTGGGTTGGAATTGGCGTCGGAGGCTGCGGCAGAGTGCGCCGACACCGAGTCTGGGGACACTGAGCCCGCGTTGGCGCCCTGTAGCGTCTGTAGCGTAAGCGGGAAGGGAAAATCCGTCACCCCACCGTAGGAGCTGAAGCACGAAGCAGCAAACGGAGTCGGTTGCGGTTGAAACATCTCCGGTCACCTAGTCGAAGAGTCGAAAACTGCCCGCTTCTGCAATTCTTCGTTTTTCGATGATTGTCCTGCCTTTCTGGTTAACTTAGACCCTTCTCGAGGGGCACGAGCAAAGCCGAGGCGGGGAAAAGACGAAGAAAAGAAAAAAACAAGTTTGGCAGGTGCCAGGGTGAGAAATCCCCTCAAGGAAAAAGAAGGAGAAGAAAAAGAAAACGACGAGAAAAGAAGGAAAAAGAAAACATGGAGGGGCAATACTCACGACCGACAGAGGACAGATACGCCTCGCAACGGATAACTGCAGTCCGCAGCCGGAGGAAAAAGGAAGTTCGATTTGGGAGGGGAATAAAGGCCAAGGAATTTGTGGACCAATGCCGAACCAAGGGAAAAGAAGGTCCCCAACGACAAGCGGACGCGGGGATAGAAGCTGTCGTGCGCGACAAACACAGCAAGTCCGCTCGGAGGCTTTACGGACAATTGGTGATTCAATGGCGACTCGAAAGCAACGCCGCTTCCTTCTCGGCACTCCTCCCTTTATCAGAGCTCAAGCTGGCCGAATCAAGCCCTCCAATGCAAAAGAAGCTGTCCCGTTTCTCAACCGATGACGCTCCACAAAGGCGATTAGAAGGCAAAGTCGTCTGGGCGACTGATCTGGTCGGCGAACTAGGCGAGTGGTCCGTAGAGCACTGAGGCGGCTACAGGTAAGAGCCGGGGGATACACCGTCGTCTTGGAATCTCGCAAATCCACCGTGCGTCGTCGTTTTTTCTTTTCGGGGAATTCGTTTCGGTCTTTCGAAGCTGGCACTCGCAAGGGCGAATTGTAGTCTGGTCGAACGCTGCGATGCCTCCTCACCAAGCAAAGTCACTTGTACCGTTGTTGTTAGCACCGCGGGCTCCACAGCATCCTTCACCCAAAGCTGATTGCCGCAAGATCCAAAACACACACGCACATGCACACGTAGGGTCGAGCTGGTATCTGCGAAGCGGGGCTATCCACGAAAATAGAGAGAAAAGTCGTTGAGTCTCGTGGGCAAAAGTCGTCGGCGTAGCGAAGAGTGTCCTCAATGGGGATATTACGGCTCGGTGTCTGGGAGGTGATGATTATCCGTCCTAAAGAGGAGTGGAGTGAACAGGTCCAACGATGTCCAGAGCAAGGCGTCGTGTCTCAGTGCAAACAGAGACGGCGAGAGAGAGAAAAAAAAAGAGCGGCGATCAAGTTGTTGCGCAAACAAAGAGCGGCCGGGACGATATGATGATGATTAGTCGAAGAACGGGACTGGTAGAAAGGAAATGAAACAAAAGGAAGAGACAACAACCCCAGCGCCAGAGAAAAAGGCAGGCACTGAAGGCGAGGAGAAAATGCGGGTTCCAGTTCGCGGTGTTGATGGTATAGATTTAGAGGTGTATGTGAGTGAAAAAGTGAGGAAAGAGATTTATGACAAAGAAGAGGAATGGGAACCCCTCTTCTATGACACGGCTGGGAGAGGCAGGAAGGAGGAAGGAGAAGAGAGAAAAAAAAAGAAAAGACAAGGTGGAAAAAAATAAACGGCACAAGAAAAAGAAAAAAGTCACCAAACGGAAAGAGGCAATGCGAGGAAATGCAGGAAATATGCAGAGTTTTGTGGGAATAACAAGACAGGCTGCAGGGAAGGCGAGGACATGAGGATCAAATGGGAGGGAGGAAAAGAACAACAGTGCGACTCCAGGGGACAAGGTTTTATGAGATCAAATGTGCCGGACGCGATCCGTTGCCAGCGTGCAGAGGTGGACGCTACACTAGAGGGAGAGGGAGGGCGTGAAGCAACAGATGGTCTGTGATCCGACCGACAGCTCGAGCGCTGGCCTAGCTCGGAAGCGGATGGGCCCTGGCCAGCCCTGATCAAATGGGACAGACAGGAACAGCGATCAGATCCAGAAGGCTAGTCTAGTGCCCCATTCAAAGAGGCTGCTGTTTGATGTTGGCTGGCGCAGGATCCTCTCCTCTTTTTTTCTCTCTTTCTTTGGGCTGGCTGGCTTGGCTGGGCTGCCAAGTCCCGTGCTTCTCCTCGCACAGAAGAAACACGCCTGTAACCGATGACAGCTAGGGTGACACTCGAACCTGGTCTCCTCCTCCAATACAACCCCGGACAACGGACAGTCCCTAGGCCGCTACTAGGGGTGCGACTGAAATACGACGACGGAGGATATCAAGTCGAGACTCTAAAAGGCCACTAAGGTGGGACCTCAAAGTGGAGGGCGGGGAAGAGAGGGGAAGGATTCGATGAATGATCAAACTTGGTTGAGAAGCAGCAAAACAACGTACGCTACACTATATTTTCACCCCAAAGCTTCAAGCATCTCGCAGCGAAATAAAAGGCCCACCGCCGGTTGCAATCGAGAAAGTAACACGCCCTTCCGCCGTCCCGAAGAGGGCCGCCGAAAGAGCCAGCTACACTACGTCGCCAAGGGCCGGCTATCGGTCTTTTTATTTTTATTTCGGAGCCATCGTCACCAAAATACACGTATTACCTTGGAAGAGAGGGGCTGGACGCACCAGCTACTGAGAGAAGAAGCGAAAAAGAAAAGAAAAGAAAGCGCCAGCGAATCGATGGCCGCTTTCCCGGCCTCTGTGGCACCGGTGAGCATTTGACGGGTATGTGTGTGCGTGTCTGTGTGCGTGTGTATGTATTGCATCCTCCAATGGCCACAATTCAAGACAAAGCAGCCGAGGGTGGGAAAGAGAAAAGAAAACGAAGAACAAGAAAAGTAGATGAAAAAAAGGAAAGAAATTTGGAGGGAAAAAAAAAAGAAAGAAAAAAAAAAAAAAAGAAAAGGAACCACCAATGTAAACCGGCAGGAACAAAGAAGAGACGGAAGCCTCCTCAAAAGCCGCTAGTTGGGCAATCCGGCAGACAGCGGGCGCGAGAGACATTGATGTGGGCTATATAACGGGTGTTATTGCTACTATTATTACCACTGTCGGCCTAGCAGATCACACCCGCGATGTTGTAGGATGGCTGCCAGGAGAAACACGCCCGGAAGCCTGAGGGTGTAGGAAGGGACGCGCGATGTCCAAACCCTTCGAACTCAGCGAGGAGACTCTCATGGATCCAGATCAGCCGGTCAGGACAATGGATGGCCGAAGCTCGGCGTGAACAAGAGGGAGCCGAGGAGCCAGACGGTCTTCTCTGGTAATGATCAAGGCAGCGGTTCCACCAAGCAGCAGCCTGCGACAAGCACATCTCGCAAGGTGGAGCCAGCTTCTTACTTCATCATCCACGGATCGAAGGCAATGGATCGATCTATTGATCAATCAACATCCTCCCATTCCCGTCGCAGATCACGCACTGGCCTCGGTGCAAGTTTACTATGTACTATTCATGATCCGATGTGATAAGGCCGAACATTTCAAGTCATAAGGAAGGAGCCTAGGGAATAATCGCTGCACTCGGGTATTGTGGTCCCTCTCCATTCCCCGTTCCTTCCTCTTCTCGCTCTGCACGTCACGTCGTAGATGAATTTGATGAATTACTCAAATGCCTGCCGGGAATGGCAGGCAGCACACTCGAGCGGAGGTCAAGAAGATTGTATTATAGCATCTGGATGTGCACGGAGAAGCCTCTTATTGGGCTTCCCTTTCCTTTCTACTTCTATAATTAATACGCACTTGCCAATAACATGCACAGCATGTCACTAATCAGTGCGAAAGCCAGTTTGGAAAAGCACTGTTGCTTTTCTTTTCTTTTCCTTTTTTCTTCCTCTCAACCAACGTTTTTCAGGGTCAGCCACACCCTGCGCCGTGCCCTCCTTTGTTTGAGAAATGGGCTGAAAAAGATGAAAAAATGGCTGAGCTTGAGCTTGGGGCACCGCACGAGCAGGCTTGGCCAGGCCCACACTCCCCATCAATTTTTCGTCCCTGATCGAGAGGGAAGGATCTCGGCTCGACAAAGTCAATGGCCTGGTCGTTTCTCTGCCGAAGCCAGTGCGCTTGGCCTGACCCACATTTGCGCGATGTGCAGAAGGGTCCCCTTTCCCCAGCCCAAAATCGGGGGTAGGTTCGGTCCAGGGAAAGAACATTGAAGTACTTGTACCTGTATCGAAAAGACAGTACCCATGCCTGGCCTAGAGAGAAGCTCTCTCGTCGCCCCCTCGTGTGGCCAGCTGTCGCACGCACAGCGCAGCGAGTGAACTGAAGCAGCGAACAGGAGCAGCAGAGAAAACACATGCCCCCCCGTCTACGCCCTAAAACCCCACCAGAAAAAGAAACATCCATAGATGAAGACCATGACCTATGGGTCGGCTTGAGAGCTCGCTCAACTATAGGTACTTGGCGCACGCGTGACTGTTCCTCGGGCAGGTAGCTGGCCTCCGATACCAAAAATAAGCTAGGGAACGAAGATGGCTTTCAACCTAATCCGGCCGGTGGCGGGAGACTGATCACAGCCGGGAGCATCCCCGCGGGCGCCCTTTGCACGCGCTTCCTCCTCTGGTAACCCGAGGAAATCTTCGCACCCTTTCACCCACCTCGTCATCTACTAACATTATGTTATAGAACGACAGGCGTAGAATCTGGGGGAGGGGAGACCGCGCCCCGAG